TCTGATGTTATGCACAGCAATTGATCTTTGACATGTTTTCAAGTGTGGAAAACTGGAGTGAACTGCAAGCCAAGAAACTGCTGGAAAATTAGGAATACAACTTTAATCTATCATCCCTGCTAGAGCTTGATGCAAACAACTGTATCTAAAAAAAAGTTGGATCATTTAAGATCAAATATAAGAAATGGACACAAAACACTTGTTCACATTAATCTCCTCCCCTCCAATATATATCCTTGAATTTTTATATGTACATTTTAACATCTTGCTACTTCAAAATTGTACAAATCTGTAAAGAGGGAAGCCTGAACAAATCAAAGAAGGACAAAGGAGGGTAAATGTTTATATATTTTTCCATCACCTCCATGTATTTAAGGCATTCCATACCAGGTTCATTCATATGTTTGTAAACACTTTTGAACATAGAATCTATCAGCAATCAAGCAGGCAACTTTCTTTAGAGAGCTTCCCAGTTATCATTACCAATAACAGCTTACCACCACACAAAAAACATCCTCCAAAACTACAGGTGTTTGTTCTCCAGGTGGGGAGGGATGGATTATTCTTTTTCTCTCATTTTTTTTCCACCACTCACAGTAATTCAACATTCCACTCACCGCCCCATCCCAGTGCACATCAAGCACTTCTCCTCTTCTTCTCCCCTCACACAGCCCATCAACTATTTAAAAGGTCTTCCCCTTCCTCCTCTAGTTTCTTCTTTTTAATCCCCTACCTCTTTCTCTAGCTTCCTTTCCAAAACAGTCAGTAGCTTCTGTTACACACTAACTTCACAACAGCTTTCCAGTTTTAAGTAGCATCCACTAATCTCAGCTGGCACTTAAGCTACTGCTCAGGGCTCTTCATTAGCTCTCAGAGTCTTTAAGCAATTATTTTGCTTTCTACTCAACTTACATTCAACTCCTCTTCTTTCATATTGCTGCTGCCATCACCTTGGACTCATTCAGTATTCACAAATTATCTCAGTAACACAATGAAGAATCTAAATACAACAAACACATGCATGCATCCCTTCCACTTTTTACTTTACTCCCCCTCCTTCAGACGGTCAAGCCTGATCATCAACTCTGACTTCTTGTTCCACTTGTCTTCCTTTTCAGCTCCCCCCATAATAGTACCCTTTGCCATCTTCTGCCTGATTAATATCATTTCCTGTAGTACATTGTTTGATGTTGTCCAGTTTTACTTTAAATGCACCATTAGCATTAGAGAGGAAATGAAAATTATTAGGCACTATCTTAGTGGTTCATTCAGCATGCATAAACATTCCCATCTGTCACAGAGCAAATCATTTCAATTTTCAACAAAACAAAAAACCTTCTGAAATCAATAAGAGCACTGAGCCAAAATGCAACAAGAGGTTTTTGATGAGAAATGGATAGTATTTCACATATATAACAAAATACTCATCGCTATTCAAGCTCTAACTTGGAGTGCACGGAGGGAAAAAGTTGTAAATAATCATGGCACGCAGCCATACATACCATTTCCTCATCTTTATATTTGGCAAAGTTTCCTCAAATACCCAGAAAATGCATCTATTTTGGAACCACCGAAGGCAGTAACAAAGAGAATCCCAAGTTCTCTTTATCAAAGCCAAATTCTCATGCAAACACTGTGACATGTACACCCTTCCCTTACTTTAGCTTAACCAGTGAAACTTGAATACACCCCAACGAAGAGTGTATTTTCTGGCAGGCCAGGAAAGCACATCACAGCCCTTCTGATGGTCACTAAGGGGAGGTTATCACTGGAACCATCACAGCAGCCTGACATTTCAAGCCAATGTTTGAGCTGTCATGAAAGATCAGATGACATGTTTTTATTTAAGCACGAATGATTTTGAAATAGAAATGGGAATTTCAGCAAGTTGCAGGTTGAACAAATTGATTCTGTACGATCTATTTTTCACTTCTGCTCCAGAGAGGAAGTTTAAGAAATTCACAGTACATAGAGAGTCAAAGAAATTGATGGTTTCTTCCCAGCACTATATCACTGCCAGAAGCACAGGCTAAACCAATCACTTTTTAACTAGAAATGGGCCTGAGACATGATGTTCTGATCTCAATCTGAACTTCACAAAGTTCATGTTGGTTATGCTAGGATTTGGCATTTGGCTTAGGATCTTCTTCACTTTTAACAATGAAGAAAAAAATCTTTTAAAGTACCAGTGGACTCTCCTCCATCAAGTTTAATAGAAATCAATAAATCAGCCTGATCCGATTTCATTTCAACATTGTAAGAAGTCTAAATAGGTGTCTTTTAGCACTAGAGTTATAATAAACCCCTCTAAGTCTCTTTGGGTGTAGTTCTAGTATGGATGTGAATTCCAATATGAGCAGGATTCGAGGACTTCCCTGGACGTATTTGCCTGGTAATTACTGGCTGAAGCACAAACTTGAGACCAGAAATGATTTTTAGGACACCATTGCCCTCTGCTGGATTAGCTCTGCATTACTGGGCTTTTCTTCAATGAAGCAGTGAAAATAATTCAGTTTTCAACTTGAAAACAAAACACAAGAGGCATTGAGAGAAGAATCAAATTCTATGAAAGCTTAAAGGAAGAAGCTATTTCTCTTGATTTCCAAATAGGCACAAGACCCATAAAGAAAGAGACATTTGTTCAAACGGAGGATCTAACAAGAAACCTCTTAGGACCAGTTGATATTTTTGGTTTTAAGTAAACAAGCGTTGGAGATAAGCTGGTTTTGCACCATTTTTCATAATTTTCATTCAAGCAGAAGGAACTGACAGGCTGACAGCATGTATAAGCTTCATCCTGTTTCAGGGCTTGATTTTACTTTGCCTTCTGCTGCACTGCAGTCAGTGATCTCTGCAGAGCATCCATATAGCAGAAGAGAATAAACATCTTGCAGAAAGGCTGTGTAAGGGTGTGCTTTCGTGATCAGCTAAAGCAAATCTAAGTCAATGATGTTGAAAGGGCACAGCTGATATAACTCACCATACAGCCTCACAAGCAATTGATTGAACACATATGCACACACAAAAATAATAATTAAAAACATATGAGAAAAATTGATAAGGAGAACAGTATTAGATTGTTTTAACTAGTCGTAATCTGCATCCTGAAAGGCAATAACAGAGCAAACAAGAACCTTTTGATAGTGAATGACTCTAGAACAGTTTTCTATCAACATACACAAAAAAATAGATCAAGCAAAGTGAGCAGATCTGGAAATGCCCTGTGCCAACAGAGAAAGATTAAGGGACTATTTAAGACATGAAAGATACTCTCCTTATAAGCAGGCAGAGAAAGAAAGAAGGAAAAAAAAAAAGAAATCAGAGGGCACTACTAGTTGCAAATGACCTACCATGCCTGAAGAGAAACTCCTCCACTAAGTCTATATTCCTCCACTAAAATTTGTCCAGCAGTCAAGATCAGAATATCCATAAGGGAGCACTCAAAATCATTCAGGGACATAAACTGAAAGTAGTGTTGATTCTGAAGATCGAAGTGGCTCATTACAACAAAAATCTGCAGAGGAATCTCATGGATGAAAATGCATGGATTCTCAGTGACAAATTACCTGGAAAGTTGTTTTGTGTTTTTTCCTCCTTAAAGATCTCTGGCTCTGGACTTTACAGAAATAAACTAACCGGTAGATCATCAAGATAGGATTTAGGTATAGCTGAAGAGTACTGTGCTCAGCTATGAAGGCCATTTCCTCTCCATAGAGTTCATTCAGCAAAACACAACTTGCAGGCTTAAATTCAATGAGATGTCGCCCATGCACATTTGATAAAATATTATTTGTCTAAATTATTCTTTTAGAGTTTCCTTATAGCTACAGGAAATAAAAATCCATAAATTGCACCATATTTTTCAATCAGTTGGTTGTTGACTGACCACAAAGAATGCACATGATACATACAATTTCCTCAGGAGAAAAATAAGTAGAAATAAAAAAATAAATAAAAAATCTTTCTCAGTCTCAAATTTCCTGCCACTGGAAATTTCCTAGGAAAGAATAGCAAGATCTAATGCTGAACATTATGTGCTCTCTCTTACAAATGTATCTACATAATTTCACATAGAAAAGAGAAACAGGTTAGGAAGTGAGATCAACAACAACATGACAAGTTACTGAGAAGCCATTCACATTTCAAACAGGAGTTTGCCTGTACACAAATTTGAGAGAACACAAGAACAAGGCACATAACAACACTTCCCCCAAACACCCTCTGCCCCCCCCACGTTACAGCAATCTGCGGGTCCTTGATTTCCTTACATGGAAATACCTTTCACTCGACCTCCTGCAAAAGATTTTTGTTCTACTAGTTTGCACAGCCACTCATTGAATCCAATTATCCCCTGTATCTACAGCATCCTAGAGAGCTCCACCGTTAACTGCATTACATCAGAATATATTCGTGTCCAAACCAAAACAACAACACAACACCTAGATTTGGGAGCTGGAATGACACAGCTACATCCTATGTGTTTGTTTTATTTAAAACATTGGATTCGTTTAAAATATTACAGTGCACAAGAGAAACAGGTCAATTAAGGTTCTTAAAAACACACAGAACATCAGTTTTGAACAGTTAGCTGAAGTATCACTTATATACCACAGTGTACTTCCATGTAACAGTTTCTAGAGCACTGCATTATAGGAGGACAGCAAAACCAGTGCACAGAATAAGCCTCCTGAATTAGTAGAGTACTTATGACACATACTTTTAAGAGTGAATTAATCCCAGCCCTGCCCCTAACCTGTTGTGACACTCAGGGCTTTTCACTTCACCTCAATACATATTCGGTTGTTTCCATTGTACAACAGACATAATGATCCTTCTCCTGCTTTTTGAAACCTTCAGAGAATTGCAGCAATAAAGCACTACATAAAAAGAGGTATGCATTTATACTGAAATGCACCTATTCACGAAAAGCCATCAATTTCTAACACTAGTTAAATCATTTTTATAAGCATCCATTCACAAAAAGCATATGAAAAATTTACCTGCTCATTTTTGCAGATCCACACAGTATTCCCCTGAAGTAGAACAAAGATTTTGGCTTTGTACCCTTTCAGTTCAAGATATCCACTTTTCTCAGGGGCAACAGATGTTCGAGACTGAGAGTGATTATCAGACTGAGACTTCAAGGCATTGAGTATTGTATTAACCCAGTCATTCCTTTCTTCTGAAGAAGAAAAAAAAAACAGACAAAGATAGGTTATAGGTTAAGCAGCAGCTCCATTCTCTACCACATTTGTTTTTCTGTTCTTCCTACTATGCTTTGCTGATTGCTGGTACAGCTACAGCACATCAGAGAGAACATACACCTTGAAGAAAAGGTGAAGAGGGAAGGGAAAAAAAAACAAACTTAAGAGACAAAAAAAAAAACACAGCCCAGGAGCCCGTATCAGTAGAGATGTTAGCAAAGATATCCACTCAACTCCCAACAAACCAAAACAAATTTGAACTTATGCAAAGCGATGATCAAGATTTTTGAAGTCATGTCTACTAGTTCTGAGATGCTTAATTTCAGACAGCTTAAAGACTGAGGTGGCATATGGTGACTGAGGTGACATACAGGTGGCATGCTCACCTTCTGGAAGCCCAATCAACAGGAAAGAACTACAGAAATTATGTAAGCAAAAACCAGGGAGCCTAGAAAAATCTCTTGCTGAACACGGAAGCCACCCCCAATGCTATCCTGTTTGGCCATGCTTTTATGCAACAACATTTGGCAATTCACAGTCTATTCCATTAAGGTGTAGTGGTTAAGCTTGATATTATCACGGGAGCTGAGTAGTCAAGAAAATACATGTTTGAATATCTTCTGTATGCATTATTAATTTAGCGTCTTACAAATACATGAACACAAGCAGGTGAAGTAATAAAGCTCCACTCAGTCTCATACACTATGTTCAGATGTTTCACCAGACTACGATCAATATACTTTAACGCTGAATACATTGAATGAGTTAGACTTGCCCTATGGGATTGAAATATCATGAATATTTCAACTCTGCTCTGAAAGATTCAGGTCATGAAATATGTGGGGGGCTGGGGAGAAGTTCTGTATATACTGTTCACAGCATCTTTGAAGTAGAAACAATCAGTGCTCAACACTGCAAAGAAGACCATTAAAACAATAACATGCTCACTTCGTAAGTGTCACACGTGAAAGGCACCAGAAAACAGTCTGAAGAGGAAAACTGCAGCTGGACACACCAGCACAGGGTAGGTGATCTAAGTGCTCCTCTTAGAAGTACAAGTTTGGTTGTTTTTTGTTTTTTTTTTTTTTTTGTTTGTTTGTTTTGTTTTTTTTTAAAGTGTTGGAAAGTCTAAAAGTAGTTTCAAAAGATCACCTTAAAATACTTAAAAGGTCACCTTTAAATACTTAAAAGTATTTACGTATAGTATAATATCACGTTATGCTAAAAGTTCATTGTTGTTTTTTTTTTAATAGCGTTTGACTCCAATTAAACAAAATAACACATCTGAGCAGATTATGCTCTAATTCAGTACTGCTACACTTTTTTTTTTTTTGCCCCCAAATGCCCCTAAACTTTCTAAAGCACTACATACAGAGTTTTCCCTGTATATATTGAGATCAAAACAAAAATACTGTGTTTTCAAGATACCAAGCAAATAACTAATCAGCACACTTAAAGCCAATAAAATTAGCACTATAATGTCACAGATTGTAGACTGGCACTCGTACCAAGGGACGCAAATCACCAAAGTCAGTGACAGTATTCCATGTTTTTATACTCCATCAGAAATAAAGGATAGTTAATATACAAGGTCCACAGGATGAAATATGTATAAAGGTCTCAATTTCAAAGTATTTTAAAAGAAGTTGAGTACTCTTGGAATAGTCCCAGAACAATTTCCAACCACAAATCCACAGAAGGAATAGCATCAAGTAACAGTCTGTGCACATACCCAAAAGCAAGCAGGGTTATTCACATAATTTATTATGAATATATCATCCAGCTCTAAACACAGTAAGGACTGAATTATTTGTACAACACTCATTTCTAACCTTAAGTGAACAGCTTTACAGACAGGCCACTAGGTCCAAAGACAGTTGTACAGTTGTATACATTCAATTACAATTTCATTTTCAAGCAGTTGCTCTGAATATATTTTATATATCGCTGTAAATTGTTAATGTCTTTACAGTATTCAAATGTAACATCCATAAAGCAAACTATGGCCACACAAAAAATACTGCACTAAGGTGGTTGTGCTCCAATTAGTAAAAAAAATCAAAAAAAATCTGGAAGAGAAAGGCAAAAATAATAAAAGTAGACCTACTTTTTAACTCAGCTAAGAGCATAAAAATGCCTGAAATTATTTGAGCCAGACCTGATAAGAAGGATTTGTTCACTGATGTTACACTCCTGTTATAGCTTGGTTGTAAACATTCGCTGCAGGCTGTAACCCATAAAAATGGGATTTGATAATGGAAATGCTTAGAGACCCTTAGCTATAATGGGTCTGGCATGTACTGCTGTAAATACATATTGCATATCCTTTTTTCTACGTATTCCATTTTATTTTATTGTTTCCATAAATAAGTCATACATGCACTGATATTGATTCTACATATTACAGCAGTAGGTTGATAAAGCATTAGAGTAGAAGGTATTCTAACTTCCTTTCACATTTGTATTCTCTATCAGTATGTGGCTGAAAATACTGTACAAGGCAATAAATAAAGACACACAGACAAATCCAGATTTTCTCTGATCACATCATCACATCCAAGCCATCAACTTCATTGTTGCTCTTCATCAATTTTATATCAAGTAGTGACTCGGAACAGATGGCTGAGAGCACAAAGACTATAAAAGCTGCTAGTGAGACCTGAGGAATCCCCAGAAAAATCCATCTTTGGAAAGAATGAGGGAGAATGAAGAGCTGGAAAACAGTATTCTCATTTAGATATTTTTAAAGTGTATTTCAGCTCTTATTGCAAAGCATATAGTTATCTCTAGTTTCACTTCATGAGCCCAGAACAGCTGGATTCCAAAACTATTTCTCACAATGAGTTATATTTCACAAACAGAATTTATCAGCAGTGACAACATAGATTTCTAGCAATCATTAGAATTACATGTTTTCTACATACCTTCTTTATCTACTCGAAAGACGAAAGTCCTATGGGATGTAACAACTTCAAATTTATTCTCTCCATGAACTCTTACTGTTGCTATAGCAGAGAGCAGTATTATTCCCTTTGAGAACACTTCCTATAATAAAAACGCAATAGAAATAGTTAATAACTTTCACAGAACATTAAATGTCTCCCAGGTAGTATTACGCACCATGATGTTTCGGATGTTCATATCCTAAACTGTGCTGTGCTCCTAGAAGTTCACCATTTATTATTAACAAAATTGCATCAATTAGTAAACCACTTCACAACCCACACATAGCCCACTTCATTGTTACGTGTCTACGCACACTTGCAGCTTTCTAAAATTGAGTAAAATTCCATGGTGAGATATAATGCATGTGAGAGATAACGAGTCATCTTATGACTCTACTATAGCAAAATATCAGTCTTAAATTTACAATTTTATGCCAAAGTAAATTGTATTGAGTATTTCACAGATCCTTATACATACACACTCTTAACTGTAAAACAAAATCGGGCAAGGAGGGGAAAAAAAAAAAAAAAAGTACTTTCTCTATGGCAGAAAATTCCAGAGAATTTATATGTTTCTTCCCCTATTCATTCAGTGTTTAGCCAATAAGAATACTAATCCACTGGTTTTATCTTTGCACTCAAGGAGGGACAACAACGTGCAACGTCCATTGCCTTGTCATTACTAACATTACTCATGAGGAACCTCTAGCTTGGATCAGGTGGATACTTTTTTCCTAAATGAGAGAGGAGGAAAGCGATACCTTAAAAATATAATTTGACATCAGAGCAAATTTTCCCAAAGTTTCCTAATTTGCAACTTGGAATCAGGACAACTAAACTTAAAACAGCAACATAGGAAAAGTGAATTGCTACCAAAACTTTCTCTAAGTCCTCTAGTCTTAGCCTAAATGTTACAAGGCAATGGGTAAGGGCAAGAAAGTCCAAGCAGACATGCAATGCTTTGGAAATACTTCTGCACAATTCCTGGATTACAGAGTTGACACTGTTCCTCCTGTCCCCAATATGCTTTGATCAATTGTGTTTTTTTGACCACAATAATTCAGATATATTGTGAAGATTTACAATCCAGATGCAGTAAAATTCCAAGAGGCAGCTCCCCATAAAAAATTTGTATTGTAATAACTTTCCTCTTGAAGCATAAATTATTATAATAGAGGAAACACTGTGAATGCTAAGTATGGAGGAGATACACAAGATACATTTTCTGTTTACCGAGTTTAGTATAACACAGATTTTCATCAAATTCACACTTGTGTTGTTTTGCTTCTACACACTAATATTCATCAGTGAATACTGTTTGAACAACTGCAGTTTAGTAAAAGATATGAAAACAGTGAACATGTTACCCAAGAGCTACTCCATCACTCAGAATTATCTGTGTTGCGCATGTATTTTCATTATGGCTATACTTGTTTGAAGACAGACTTGAACACAGCTATTTGTTAAAGAAGGTTGGATATTGCATTAACTCTCGATGGAAAAACAAACATTACAGATTCTACTTCTAAAAGTGTTCAGATATAATTATATTACGGTGTTTGCAGGCATCTACTGGTTGTATTTGGTACTGTAAGAGAATAATTCAGACTGCTTTAAGTCACAGCTGCTTTATTCTACCTGCTTTGAAAATTTTCAGTCTCCTTTTAAGCTGAGTACAGTTTTGGTTTTGTTATTTAATCATCCTTTTTAAAGCTTTGTTCTCCCCAAGGCATATGTATTTTCAAATACCATTTTAAACACTGTAATTTCTCAATCTTATTTCTACAGCAGCGTCTGTTCCACATGCAAGAAATGCCTACTCTTTGAAACAGTGCAGACAAGAAATTAGGCGATTTAAGAAAACAGAGTAACAACAACAAAAACACACCCAAGAACCTTGCAGATATTTCTGCTGTTACCAGGTGGTCTAATCTACTTATAGGGCTGCTAAAAATTCTCAGATAGAACAATTTTCTAGTCGGGGAAAAAAAAAGAAAGTTTTGTTGAAAACATCTGCTTTGACGAAAATACTTATTTTCAAATACAGCCCAATGGAGCCCTACCTTACCAGGTGTGTTTCTGAACCAGACTGAAAGATCCTGGAAAACATAGTCCTGCACTGTTTTGGCTTTCCTTCCACAAAAGATAAAACATGACCTAGTTCACGAACAACAGTGATTGCCCTGTTTTGCAGCAAATTTCGTTTTTTGTTTTGCTTACATGAAGCATAATGCAACAAAATAAATTTCTCCATATGAAAAGGCAAGACTTTCCTAAATCACAAATATATTTGTCAAGGATCCTAAGATGTTTTTAAACACAAGTTTTGAATATCACCAGCAGTTTTGCATTACCATAAAGTACATGTTAGAGCATCAGAGTTCTCCTGCCAAAACCAGGAAAAACTTTGAAAGAAATCCTACACACACTGTGTATTTGAAAAGAATTCTGAAATTACACCTTCCGCTCTCCAGCTTGCTCTCACTTCAGTTGACCACATTCTGTTATGACAAAACCACACAGGATATTGCCGCGACCACATCAACTTGCTCAGAACCATGAATACAGGAGAAATGAGCAGCATCATCAATTCAAAGAAAAACAGTTCCTGGGTCATATAACATTTGAAAAACAAAAACAACACAGTATACATTTTTTTCATATATAGATATAAAGGGAAGTAGTCTGCATTTATTAGAAGGTAACACACAGTTAGATCCAGATTAGAAAAAAAAATTGAAAAAAATCAAGTTTAAATCATTCCAAGGCAAGTTTATGTAGAATAAGCAGATGTTTTCAGGAACACTGCCCTCTCTGTCTTCCCTCCCCATCCTCCACTTATTTCACTCTTGATTAGACACTTGCACACTTCCCCTTGTTGAGAATTTCACTCCTCTCAAGTTTCTAATTTGAATAGCAAATAAAGCTGTTTAGTACTGGTAGTGTTTCTGGGTAAAACAAACAGTGTTATTCTATTCACTCTACCCTTTTCTGCTTGTAATAATCAGAAAAATATCTGAGTATGGATTGGTTTCCTTTTGAGAACTATTTTTTTAATTGATATTTATGAAAGCAAAAGTGTAACAATTCCTTTATAACATATTGTCTGTGTAATGGAATATTCTTGGACAAACACAGATTAGAACAGATGGATCTTGCCATTAAGACTGAGGATCTTGCCATTAAGATTGAGGTCAAATGATAACTTCCTCGTTTAAACGTAACTAGACATAGAGCTAGGAGTTGCCCACAGTGAACTACCTTTCCTACCTTTATCAGAACCAGCTCCTGAACTGCACGGAGGTATTGCCAGGTCTGCAAATATTTGCAGAACATGCTGATAACCATCTAGCAGGCAATATGAATGCTCTCAGTGGGGGAGGAGGGATCCAACGAAGACCACTCTGCCAAAAAGCTCATGCTCCCCAGTGACTCCATTACTTACCCAAAACCAATCCCATCATGCACTCAGAACTATGGACAGACAACTGTTTTCCTCCTATCTGCAAAGTACTCCAAATGTTTCATCAAATCCTCAGCTATTATCAGAATGTGCCTTCAGCTTCACAGTTCTTGGATATAAAAAGGTCTTACAATATAGAAAGGACTCACCAAGTTAACAAATCAGACACGCAAATTTGAAATTGAACACGCAGACCAACCAGCGACACTTTCAACTCCAGGAGCATGGTTTTATACTCTGTTCAGGAAAAGGGAGACAAGGAGTCTTCAAACCAAGACTCCTGCAAGCTCTTGATCGCCCAAACTGTCACAGATATCTTTTAAATAGAGGATGCAGAGTTGGAAGCTTTTTAAGCAACTGTGCCACATTAAATATTCCCTTCAACATACAGGATGATTTCTGGAATCTCCTATGACAGAAAGCTGTAAGTCCTACTCTAGACTTAGTGACTGCAAAGCAATCTCTAGCGACCTTCCAAAATAAGTAAATAAACCCCCAGTGCTTAAGCATGACTTAAAATTCTTTGAAATTATTATTCTTCGCCTAATTATGCTACAGACAATGTTAAGCAAGTCCCAATGTCACAGGATTTTTATTTATTTAAGAAGTCTTTCTTAACAACTAACTCCGTATTTCTGCTTGTCTAAAGCAGAATATGGTATGCATATCACAAAGTGGTATGGTATGAATATCACAAAGGGAGTAACATTTTTGGTCCTTCCAACCCAAATGTTATTCTATTGTTCTCTTCATCTACATAATCATGTCTTCTACTGTAAATGAAGAACCATAAGCAAGCAAAAACAGGTTGTCTCATGTTTCTCATCAGTAGGCATAATGAAGCGTGATGTAAATAATTTTTTGAGCTTGTTCACAATTTTTCTGGACCCTCAGGACGTACACAGCCATTTTCTACTTTAGTTCTCCCCTTCCATAATCCGCTGAAATATGTCAAAAAGCATGCACATTATATAAAGCATCTGCGAAATACTTAGTGATTATCACTGCCTAGCATAATGCTTAGGAACTTTTACCCTAAGTTGTATTTTGGTCTTAATTTAATATGCATCTTCTTCAACAGGAAATTCTTTCCAGTGTTTCAAGCAATACACATGCACATAACCTCATTTCAAAATATGCATATTATGCATTCATCTATCATTTTTGAATTTACGAAGTTCTGCAGTTTTTCCAAAAGAAGTGAATTAATCACATAGCAACAGAAAAATAATTTTAGTCATCTGAAGTGTATTAAATAGATAATAGGAAAAAGAAGAAAAAAGGAAATTTTTAGAAAAAAGAAGGCAAGGTTTAAAGATAGGTCTCAAAAAAGCAATGGCTTCTAGTGTGAAAAACAACATCAAGCACTCAGGTAAGTCTTTTCCAAGATTCATATATTTTTTTTAAAATGATTACTTTCAAATCCATTTTTACATCATGTATCAGAAGCAAACTACTTGAATCAAAACAACTCATGAGCCTGCAAATCTTTCAGTAAGGATCAGTCCCTTAGGTACAGAAACAAAGCCAGCCACTCACATCACAGAATTCTGCTTATTTTAAAGAGACCCATTCAGACATAAACTAGCCCCTTGTTATGTGATTATTCCTAGAACACGCATAGGAGAGACAGTTAAAATTAGAGACTAGGAAAGTGGCATGGAGTATTTGTTTTAGAAGGTCTTCCAGGCCAAATTTTCTCTCTCTCAAAAACAAACAAACAAACAAAAAAAAAAAAAAAAAAAAAAAAACTAACATGCTGGATTTACATAACAAGACAGTTTGCAGCCACCAAAGTAGCATTTGATCTCTTAAATGTGTTTTTCATGATCCTGTTCCCTTTTGCAGAATGCAGCAGTGTCTCTCCTTCACTAAACTAGAAAGTTCTGATGATATCTACCTGGAAATAGCAGGAACACTAGGCCTTCTAGACAAGAGGATGAAGAACACATGAAGTTCTCAAGGACACATTAAAATAACTAATAATATCTTATCCTGATTTTGCAGTTGAAAATATATTTAAGACTCATTCATAATTATTTCTTTATCATGTATATTACACACATGCATTTTTGACCCAAACGTGTCACTTACCTTTTCGTTATTGTAGTAAGAAATGCTGTCTCCATCAAATTTAACCCAGCGCTTCTGAAACATACGTTTGCTGTGAACCAAGAAGTAATACACTTAAAATAACAAACAACACTGGCTTTTAAGAATATCTCAAGCACAAACTAATGAGAAGTAAAAATCACATTTAGCTTCCTGCATTTGGGCCTAAACATTCTAGAAATTAAAATTTATACCTTTTTAAAAGGAGAATATTGATTTCAAATATAATAAACAATATCACTGGAGTTTTTATAATTTGGTGACTTCATGTTTGTATTTTTTTTAATCAAATATCCCCTCTCTTTCCCCTCCCCATCCTCTTTATCATATCTGAAGTGACAAAGGAAAAAAGAGCTTTCAATAATGTACTTTTGCTTGAATCTAACAGGTATAAAGGATGAGAACAGGCTATTTTTAAAGAAAGCAAAGGAATACTCTGAAAACAGAGCATACCTTTAAGTATTCAGAGCTCTTTAAGATCATTTGCAAAAAGGAAAGCTAAGAATCTAAAGTGACCATCTCATTGATAGGTCCATGAGAAGTTCATCCCTGTTTACATATTACAGTATGTAAACCATATAGAGTCAACCCCACCTGAGCACCCTCTTCCCTGACCAATGAATAAGAATCAGTCACACCAAATCATTCAACAACTACAATGTTAAAATTCATTATCAACCTCTGTCATCAGATCATTAATGAGAAGCTCATTTGATTACCTCAGTTTCCTGTTAATTTATTTTTATTTTTTTAAGGAGGTTCTTAAAGAGCATAAATAAATATATACATAAAATATGAACCTGAAGCACTCCATCATGCTCATTAAAAATGTTGGCAGCCTGTTAGTTACCATCTATAAAAATTTAAATTTTAAGATGTATTAAACAAGTTAATTAAGCAAGAACAAGACACCTCTCTAATATCTCTTTTCCCAATGTTATTTCCTTTACTATTAAAAGAGAGCTCTGTTTTAGGATTAGGAGACTGTGATAGTTTATCAAAACTTCAATCAAATAGCAACTCTGGCTTAATTAACTTGTATTATATGACTACAATAAATCTTCATCTTTTCTGACCTGGAAAAGCCAATGTAGAATTTGTTTTCCATTAAAATATCAATAAACTTTGAGATGTTACAGAAAAGAAAAGTGAACCTAAGTGCCATGTACAGTGTAAACAAACTCAATGGCTTTACAACTTATAGTGAGTTCACTAAAAAGGAAAGCTGTACTTTAAATGCAGTTTACAGCAATTTAAGGAAACAGTGCATCTTCATTCCCCTGAGGAGACACAAAATGCCAGGTGTAGATAACAGCTTTATAAAAAAGAAAATGGGGGAAAAAAAAAAAAAAAAAAAAAAACATTCAGCTGGCAGGGACTGAAATCACAGAATCATTTAGGTTGGAAGAGACCTACAAGATTACCTAGTCCAACCTCTGGCCTAACACTAACAAGTCCTGCACTAAACCATATCACTAAGTTCAACAAGGCAAAGCTTTAATGGCGAAACAAATCGTTTTCTGTGTTGGTTTTTTTTGTTTGTTTGTTTGTTTTTCTTTGGTCTGTTTCCTTACGTCTTCGGGAATCTGAGAAATGGTATTGTTAAGAAAGAAAAAAATAGCATTCATTAAACTGTTTAAAAACAAGACCTTGAAATTTAGCCAAGGAATATCACTGGTTTGAGGCTACTGATGCTGCAACTTTTCTACACAATCACTAAATTAAAAAAGATAATGAATTAGTTCCACCAAATATTAAAGTAATACATTCTCACTCAGTACTTCACCTAAACCCTTCACGTTCAGTTTCAAACAGCACAGTATTAGTCAACTGGAATCTAGAACTGTATTTTGTATTACTCCATTAGCTAACTGCCAAAACTGAGGTATTAAAAAAAGTCAAATTAAAAATTAAAGCTAACTGCTACTCTTCTGAGAAGAGAATACACTTCTTTTAGTTCCAAAAAAAGTAGCATAAACATATTATACTGGAGAAAAGACTATTTTGAGTCTATATACAATTAATCTTTGATTATTTACTAAAAGTAATAGTTGCTATTATTACTCTTAGTAATAATCCATGAAAGCTGATGAAACTTTTGAAACTCAATAAAAAGCACAAAACCAAAACATACAACAAGGTTTGTGCAGATTTTTGCCATTGCAGAATTTCAAACCAGATCTATTCCTCCTTGCTATTCAGCCTTAACAATACATCACAATAAAGCAAATAAATGAATAAATAAATAAATCTTTGTGAGTCAGAACTCTCAAAAAACAAATAAAAAAACAAACAGAAATTGCTATGTCACAGAGTTCCTTCCAGTGGGCTCAAACTAGAATGTATTCTCAAGCAATTTAATTCAATAACTTTTGTCAGTAAATTGAAAAAAATATAATTGCTATAATAGTCAGCGTAATTACAATTATTATAGCTGCAACTAATGAAAGGAAAGGCCAAACATTTTAATATCACCTTTCAAAGCAGCTAAACACAAAGTCCTAAGAACAAAGAATATAGAACTACTAAGTCTCAAGGAGAACAACAGTAAAAACATTAAAGAACTAAAGGACAAAAGCTTTAATTTCTAGATGCTAGTGAAATCAGAAATGGACTGGAAAAGTTAAATTGTGCCAACCTCTAAAACGCAGAGAGGCGATGAAGAAAATCATTAGAACAATTACGGAAGCAGAAATTACTGAAGAATTGTCTATTCAATTAGTTAAGGAGGTTAGAAGTATGTCAGAGTATACTATATCTACAAAGGGAAGATCTGATAATAGAGGGCTCTTAACTGTAACACAGTCTAAGAAAAGTGGGAATTTAAAATAGGTTAATTTAAAGTAGAAGAAACTTTAAACAATAATAGCAGTTAAACAAGAGCTTTTTAAAGTTACAAACATGATAAAGAATCTGTTTTCATTCTACTCTCTTTTTTATTATTTAAAATTTCAAAGTAAGACTTGTGCTCAGATTCCTCCATCAAAATTTAGGCACGTTGATAAACTAAAGAAGGAGACTATTCACCGTAGATACATGTCTACACTCAGAGCTTGATTTATATTCCTATGAGACTACACAACTCTGAAACCAATAGTGATTTCCAGTCAAGAAAACCACTATTTTATATGTTCACAGCTAAACCAATAAAGCAATATTTCAGAATCAGACCTTGGTTTTGCTCACTTTGTGGTCCACAGAAGAGCAGCAAAGATTCACAGATTGGAAATGTTGCTAGAAATTAATTCTCGATTTTTCCACTACAGTTCATGAGTGGCAATCAACATTTTTAATGAGAATATCTTTCCTGAGCATACTTCCTAAATAAACTTTAGGATAGGTAACAACATATCATTAAAATTGAGAACATAGAAGAAAAGCCCTGTGCTCTTGCAATAAAAGCAGTTCCCTTCTTCCCACCACAGTGACCAGAGTCTCTCATGCAAACATACATCTTTGCAATTACACAGTAATCACTACAAATACCATACCCTTGTGGGGATAATTTATCCAGCCATCCTGCTTTAAGCTTCTTTACTGATGGCCCATAAAAACAAGCATACGGTGTTATTGATTCATTTGCAATCGAAATTTGAGCTCCGTCAAATTGCCGAAAATCCATTTGTTCACTGATCAAGTGATTTGCATCTTCACTTCGGTTCTTACTACAAGATGAGTGGCTTTTGGCTTTATTTTTCTTTTTCTTTAAAGGTAAGGAACATTGATCCACAACAGAGTATACAGATTCACTTTCAAAATCTTCTGGTGCTAATGACTTGTTTTCCTGAGACACGGGTTTTTTTGCACATTCCTTTGTCTTCTCATCCTGATTATGGGAACTAGAAAGAAAAAGTACACTTTAATCTGAGTGTACACAACAAAGAATCAATCAGAACAAACATTCTTAAGACGTATTGCAAATATGCTATAACATGTTTCATTTTTCAGATAACCACAGGCTGAGCTAAACACAATATGTATCTTCAAACTATGACCTTAACTGAATCCTACATTCTAAATAGGGCTGGTAATGAGGTAACACCTGGTGGTCGCTTTAAAAACCTGAACATTAAAAAACTTCAAATTGAATTCTGCTTCTTCAGAAAACTAGCTTTATTCATTTTAAAGTTCTGGAGGATTTGCAGTATCATCTTGCTCTTCAGTCTCTCCCCCTTGTAAAGAATAAAGTAATTGTAATATGGAAAGAATTAAATAATGTTTTTATGTGTTTTGCTTGGTTTTGTGTTTATTTATTTTATTTTTTATGAGTAGACAGTATGAAAGCACTCAGAGATGGTTATCTAAGAGACATAAGAGACAAGAGACATTCAAAAATAAAATGTGTCTTCCTGTGTGAAGAGAGGGACAAGACATCTCCCAAATCCACAAAGCATTCTGAAGCTCAGATTAGATAGTCTTAGGAAAGTAACCTCCTATGAAATGATGTGTAAATAGATGGACAGATAAATAAACAAAGTCACAGCTGGTGACTACCTTTCATAGGTAGAGCTCTACTTATATCACTAAATAATTCTTTCCTCTTTAAATTTTAGATTTATCTATAACTTATTTAATACCATGAATTCTTGTGAGAATAATGTTCTTCGTTCATTTCTAGATCTGATTTCTTTTCACAAACCAGGAGTTCATTTCCATGAAGTTCCTAGAAAATAAACATACCATAAAAAACATACGTAAATGAAATAGTAAGTTGTTTAAATTACTGTAGACACAAATCACACACAAACAGACCAACTAGAAAAGATACACTTTTCCAAATTTTCTAGTAATATGCATCTGAAAGATTGTCTCAAGAAGTATTTTAAAAATGTTATTTTCAATATTTCCATTTTAATATTCAAAAATATTTGTGCATAGTCCAAAATACCTAAGACAAATAAATTAAAAAACGGTGCATAAAAAAATTACTACTCTGACTTTTATTTTTTGAAGCACAATTGAGTATTATTTTTACACTGACATTTTCTAAGCTCAAGAGCCACAATTTACATGCATCTTAAGTATACCATTTATGATTTGCTACTGTTAGCCTATCTTTCATGTCAGTATTTCTCTGAATTAAATGTACAGCCTTCATGGAACAAATATAAAACAGGTAAATTCAAAATTCCTGCAGTAAGATTGCTAAACATATCTAGTATTTTCTTGCCAAGCTCTTCTTCCTAAAAGGCACATTTATGAATGTTTAGAAATCTTTATCACAAACTGTTTGGAGTGTACAAAATGTCAAGGTTAACACTGCTCAAGAACGTTACACTCCATACTTTCTAAACTTGATCTGACAATCATACTGCATTAATAAGCTTCTCAAGATTCATCTTTCTTCCTTTACAAAAACAAACAAAAATGAACAGCTACATGCTTTATGACGGAAACAATTTAATTTACTCATTTAAACTTGGAAGTGTATGTCACAAAGACGAAAAGAGGCAAAAAAAAAAAAAAAAGCAGATAAGCCTTCACAACTGTTGCCGATTTTTCTTCCCCCAGAAGAAAAATCTCATTTATATTTGAGGGCTGTGCCTGGGCAACATGAAAAGACAAGCTTAAAAAAGGGCATAGCTAAAAGCTGTGTATTTGTACTCTGCAGAAAAAAAATGGGGAAGATATAGGCTGCTGATAGGATAATCCTTAAGGAACATTTTGTCCTCCTCTGCCAATCAGAGAGTTTATTAAAAAAAAGAAAAAAAACAACCCCCCCCCCAAAAAAAAAACAAAACAAAAAAAACACCTACACACACCACACACTATTAGCTATGTTGTAGCACCAAGGATTAGATGATGATGATGAAAAACACTCCTAGGTTTGCAAACAAACAAAAACAGAAAACTGACAAGCAACCTGTCTGCTACTTGCAAAATGCCTGAAACACTCCTCACAAAAGGCGAGAAGGTGGCAGTATCACATTTTTATGCAGCAGCCAAGACACTAATGTCATCACCCAGGAAGCATCTTTAGGTTAGATACTAAACATTTTTACTCTATTATCTGCAGTTGCTCATCAGGATGCAACCCGACGCTGCTCAGACGGATGAACCATACCCACTGTGTATGGGTACACAGCTGCACCTCCTGCTCACTCTCACGAACCATTATGATACCGCTTTACAACCTGCCTTTGCCTGCTCTGCAATCTTCAGCACTTAGCCAAGTTCAGGGAACCCTGAGAACTTCCAAATAGCAATCAAGAGATGCATTTCTATTGCTGGCAAACTTTAAAATACAGATATCTGTAAATGAAGACAGGTTATGCAGACAGAGCTCTGTTCCCTCACAAAGACACAAACTTCACCCAAATTAAAGAAGGGAAAACGTGTTGGTTACAGGATTACTTGGCAAGAACCTCAGACTCGAGACAATACAGAACTCCTATTTCACACCTCCTGCAACTGTCAGGTATTGTACAAAGGTAAGTAGCAGCACCATTTTCTCCTGCAGTCAGCTTCATAGAAGGAAGTATTTCTTGAAAGATGGGTGGATATATGTAGTATTTAAATGTATACTGTTCTTATGCAGAGGAAGCACCCGCCCTGAAGGAAGAAGTCCAGCTTCTAGATCATAGCCAGATGGAACTGCCTACTTGCAGCCCTTAAAAAAACTCTCTACTTCTGATCAGGAAGCATTCAGACGCATTTTTGTTAATTTTTTTCTAACAGTCAGTCTTGCCAGTCACAATGTGAAGGAAACCTGAATACTAAGAATTGTACTGGGACTACTGCCACATTAAACAGTCGATGCTATTCAGGACAAGCCTCTTCACTTGAAAGATACTGCCTCAGTTTTCTATTAAAGGCCATACAGTTTTATAACAGGGCTTTAAAGATAAGAATCCCTCCTGTTAAAATATTAAGAGTTCTTATTTTAGAGTTGCACAATTTGTAATCTGGCCAGCATTCCACGATACCACAACACGTAGGAGCTGACAGATTAAAACATGCATATTGAGTTCAGTAATCTAGTCTGTGAATCTACAGCAAGAAATAAAACTAATATTTCACTCTAGAGGCTTGAACTCAGAATTTCTTCACAGAAAAACTGAATTCCAATATACTTTACTCTTCAGCTGGACACAGCAATATATCAGCTGTGAAATGTTAGGATTTTTATTTGTGCTATTTTTTGAATCAATAGAAAAGAAAAATGTTCCTTCTTCAGGTTGTCCTTTAGGGGTTTCTGCTTCTAGCCATCTTTCTTCCTCACTTAAGTCTAAGGTATACTTTCTTTATGCCCTTAATTCCCCATTCTCTCATGCTGACTTACCTCTAGTCTGTAGTGACTCATTACCTGTTTCTAGACACTCCCTTTATAAAAGCCTGTAGAAGCCTTTACTTTGTTACACCAATGAAACAGGAAGAAGGTTAATGGCCAACTTCTAACCACCTAGAACAAGCTTCATTTAGTCAGCATTACAATTTGCTGTTTTCTTGAATACAGATAAACTATATTCTCATATGAGGTTATTTTTAAAAGGAAGCAACAGTTACTAAACTCTCAAACACTTTACAGTGTTATCAAAACTTCCTTATTTGTTCCTAGGATACCTGATACTAGGGAAAAAAAAAAAAATTGAAAATTAAATATCTTGGGACCTTTGTTTTACAGTTCTGCTTTATGACCTTTGTCTGCAATTATGTTCTAATGGAAGCAAACTATGAAGTTTCCAACTAGCATGTGATTTATCAAATAAAAAAAATTCTTGTTTACTTACATGAACATGATAATTAAAATCTAAATCTTCAGATCAGAGAAAGCATGTTGTAATATGCTGCTTTAATTGAGATTCTACGGCCAGCAGAAATAATAATTCTGTTTCAAGCAGTTAATCTAGCTTAATAGCATGGTATTTTTTCTATTGGGTGCCTTTATAAGATTGCAAACAAACTTCCTGGGTATGCCGTATTATAAGCAGCAACTCCAATAAAATATATAGAAAAATTTTAATAAGTAACAACAAGGACAGAAAACTTTTTCTGGAAAAACCTGCTTATGCCATTGTACTAATTGCAAAGCAGCTCAACTTTGAATTTGTAAAGACATTTTAATAATTGGCACAGACAAGACTATGCAGTAGGAAAGAAAAGGAGCTCAGAAGTAATCTGTACACAAAGGGTATGTAACAAGAAACAGAAGGAGAAACATCATGAATTTATGCCCATCTCCTTAAAAAGTCAACAATGAAAAACAAAAAGCCATGATTCCAAAGAGAAGACAGTACACGTGAAAAATAAAAGTTCATTTTTATGCTTCTAAAAACACTCCCACTAGAAGATGCAATTTGAGCCATTTATTTTCAATGCACAATTCTTAAATTCATACTAGGGAAAAAAAATAAATTATAGGCACCTATTTTGAAAGTCACTAGTCAAATAGTTTTGATTTTAGTGAATAATTTGGAGTAGTTGTAAAGGAGAAACTTTAGAGTGAAAACCAGAAAAGAAACTAAGAATTACCTACTGTTTTCCCTAAGTCAGTGGCTTGAGATCAGCTGGAACAAGGATAAGCAAACAAAGAAGCAACAATTCCTGAGTGAGAAGCAGGAGCTGGCATTCACAACATTTGGTGGATGCCTCACTAAGCTACTTCACCTCTTGGACCTCCACATGATTCAGAAGTCTGTCCACATACCATCTAAGACATTCACAGTTCAATTACCAACCTCAACAAAAGCGTTCATGTCAGACAATCCTGCAACAAAAGTGACTTACTGTGTATATAGCAAGTCTGGGATCTGTGAAAAATACCAGAATCCCTGAGAACTTTCATATATAGGAACTTTAAAATGTGTATGGCTGAAAGTGACTATTAGATCAACTAAGCTAACATATAAGCTGCTTTCTTTGGTTGTCCACCAGCCAGATGCCCAGTCTTGATATTGAATTATCAGAAGAGAGAAAAGCCACTTTCCCCCTTATTAGTCAGTTTTCGTGGTTATAACCCCACTTAACCTGTTTTAGACACAAAATATTACAATATACCACTGTACTTAAGAAGGTACAAGGAAGGCATCAAGGTAGTCTGCAAATGCCTATAACTGACTGTTTTCCATTTGATATGGCAGCATCTAGGTCAGGGCAGAAAAGTCAATTATGCCTCTTACTTTTTTTTTTTTTTTTAACTTTTTTTTTTTAAAAAAAAAAAAGCAGAACCTCCTATTACTATTGAACAGTACAAAGAATATCTCAAGATTAAGAAAAGTCACTAGTCCCTACATATTTACACTACTGTCATGGTTTTGGCTAGGATAGAGTTAATTTTCTTTGTAGAGGCTCATATCATTTTGTGTTTTGGACTTCTGATGAAAACAGTAGTGATAACACATGAATGTTTTTAGTTGTTGCAGTGCAGTGTTCACACAGAGCCAAGGTCTTTTCTGCTTCTCATGCTACCCTGCCAGTAAGGAGACTGGGGGTGCACCAGGAGCTGAGAAGGGAAACAGCCAGGACAGCTAGCCCAGACTGACCAAAGCGATGTTCTGTATCATATGGTGTCATGCTCAGCAATAACAGTTGGGGGAAAGAGGGAGGAAGAGGTAGACATTCAGAATGATGGCATTTATCTCCCCGAAAAGCATTATGAGCTCTACTTTTCCAGAAATAGCTGAACATCTGCCTGCTGATGGCAACTAGTGAATGCATTCCTTGTTTTGCTTTGCTCACACATGAAACTTTTGCTTAAGTGGTAAAGTGAGTTCTCACACTTTTTTACCTTTTCAATTCTGTTCCCTATGCCACCTACAGAGAGTATGTAAGTACGGTGCTTAGCTACCTGCCGGGATTAAATCACAACTATAAAACTTGTGCATATACCTAAGAATACAAGAAAGATACTGAGAACCGAAAGAGAAGAAAAAAGAATTAATGGCAGTACACAATACATAACATTGAGATATAAACCATTTATATCCAGACTTCTTAACTTACCTTAGCATCTTGAAGGTTGTCCCAAAAAAAGGTTTCTCCATACGGAGATATGATGGGTGGTTTTTCTTCTGTGAAAGTTTCTTAAAGTAAAAAATAACCAGTCACATACTGTCATACTCCATTAATGTTATGATATAATCAACAAGGGATACAAGTTTTCTGTTTCTGATTTTCCTGTCCTCCTCAAAATGAATAAATATTGAAGAACAAGAAACAATTTCTCATTTATAACTGAAACACACTTTCTTAGAAATTTATACTTTTACACCGATCTACTTATATCTAGCTATAGTTTTGCTATATCTAGTATAGTATATCAATACAGTTACAGTTTTATACTGCATCTTTTCACTAGCATCTTATTTGGATATAGCTTGCATATAGGTATCATCTTCTTTCCTAATCTGCCTATCAAGTTAAAAACAAAACAAAACTTTTGTCATATGCTCTTGGGATCAACAGTTCCACTGTCTTTTATTATGACTTTAAAAAACAAAAGCAAAGGAAACAAAAAAACACCTAATTTCTGCTCAATTTTCATTTCATCACCAATTATTTGCTTGAAATTAATATGTATAGCTTCAAACTTCTAGTGTTTAAAAGAATTTGTTTTTTTTTAAATGCCACTGACTGTGCAAGACTGAATTAAATAGTTTACTGGAAGAAGTTACCAATTTATTTCCCGTTATTTCCTGGGGCTCTGATTACTCACTAACAAATGAAGGTGCATTAGTCAGAAATACTCTTCTTACAGTTTTCAAGAAAAAATCGATTCTGCTTTAAAAAAAATGCATACCATCTTGAAAATTCAACATATTGTATTTAAAAAAAGTATGTTAAATTATGTTTACAGACAATATTTTGTAATTTTCATGCTATTAGCTCGTAAACAAGAACTAAGTAAAACGTAGAAGTGGTTACGTGCTCTGCTATTATGTACATCACACTTTTTTCATACTTTCCAGATACCCAGTATTTCTTAAAATAGCAAGTCAACACTTGCTCAACAAAAACCGAGGTTGGAACTCAGTTTTTCGTTTGAGGTTTCTTTGTCTCAATATTCAAGATGTAAGTACCAGCATGCTTAACTCACTTTTTTGTGAAGCTTGCCTCCCAGCACAAGGTACATTTGTAAGATCCACGTTCTTTCTTTTCTGAAGGGAGCTTGAACAAAACAGAGCACAAAATGGAAATATTAAGTGAAATTTCCCAGAAATGGAGCATGGAGCAAAGACATCTTATGCAGGTAAACAAAGTATTACAACTACATGCAAATGTAGAAATAGTCAATTTTAAGTCTTGGAAAAGACTTCTGACTGAATTTGAAATATCCAACATTCTTTCTTTCTCTCTTCATGATGCTGAATACTTCACTGATCCTAACACACACGTTCAGATTTTTATTTTTTTTTGGTTTTGAATGCCTTAACATACATTTAGACCTCTGGGAAGCATGGGGATCCCCCATTCTTCCCCCATCCTCTACCATCCCTTCTACTTCACATTCAATACCAACAAATGCATTGAAAAAAAACAGCATAGTATCAAAGCCAAATCTTCAACACTGAGCTCTAAGCATAGAGCCTAGGCATACAGACAAACCAGATGCCTTGAACCACTGAAAAAAAAAAAAAAAAGTGCTGAAAATTTTTAATTCCCAATCATTATTTTTTTTTCCCCTAATAAACTTTCAATCTGAGACATAAATGACATTTATTTGATACCACCTGCACCTATGACTGTGCATTTTGTAGATATGCAAGAATGTATTCCCATACACAGGAGAAAAATTACTTTTTTTATTGGTGTTGTGCTAGCTCCTAAGTATTTCAGGGATTCCATGTAAAGAGGTACATTTCTGCTGGAAAAAGATCATGTTTTCACTATTATTACTGAGATTTCAGGCTAATGCAGCGGCTTTAGAATAACAGAATAGGAGAAAATACACCTGAAGTAGTACATTTCTAACCCATCTTCACTGCTGCAGCAGTCTGTTTTCAGTCTGCTTTCAATCAAATTCTGATTTCACCTGTTAACACAAGTAATTAGTAATTTCTCTTCTTTATATCACTTTCTCCACTTGAAATATCAGCGATACAGATCCTTGTGCATCATTACAGAATACTCATTGATTCATAAGTGCTATAAAAGATCCTTTAAGCTTTTTCTAAGAGTTTGCAGATTCTCCGTCTTTCAAAGCCAAAGATAAATGTTTTAATAAAAATATCAATATCTGATTTTCATTTCCCCACTAGACTTATTGGTGAATTTTATGTTTTTAAGGTTTGTTATGCTCAAAACTCCAGAAATACCACCCCATGACATCTAAATTGAATAACTCTACATTACAGGCTGATATTTCCCTATGACAAGAAAGCGTATGTTTATGAACTACCATTTTGTATCATTTTAAATCTATGCCTCTATTTGCCCCAAGGAAATTGCTGAATTAAATTCAATATGGAAGCTGTACTTTGAAATAACAAGTACCTTTACAAATTTTATCCTGGTTGTATGAATTATGTTTCTTGATGGTATTTTGTAAGATCCGATTCTCAGAAAACATAGGATGAGTTTGCCCAGTTGAAGTGGATCATGGCCTAGCTCCATACATAGTAACTGCTCACTCTTCGAATTACAAAAACTACATAACACTGTGTTCCTTCATGTGTCTTACTAAAATTGATGTAGCTACAATCTTTTGAAGTTACATTAACAAATTAACTTCATGCATTTGTACTAACCCGGAATGCTTACAAATAAATACATAAATAGAAATAATATTTTTCAACAGAGACAGGATTTGTTTGTTGTTTTTAAGGGTACTAATAGCATTAATATGAATTTGAGAGGGACAGATAATCAGCTTTGACTAGAAGAGATTTTAAACTGATGGTTTTCTTCCCTATGTAAAACAGTGAGTGAAAGGCTTAGTTTCAGAGTGGAAGGATTTAAAAGTGGGCAATGGTAATAGCAATGAGTCACAAGTAATACTGGTAAACTCATCAGGAAACGCGAAATGATAAAGCAACTTATAAAGACCTGCTTTTTTTTTTTTTTTTGGTTTGTTTGTATTAAGTGTCTACGTGTATATGCTCCATACAAAGTAAGAAAATCTGTTAAAAATATGAACTGCAGGGTGTTCCCCCCACACACTCCCCAAATAATTTTTTTTTTGGACATTTTAGGAATGGGAAGTTTTACCTTATGCCAAGTAAAAACTACCTCAATAAATACTTAAAATAGTTTACTCTGAATATCTGCTTGAGAGATTAAATATAACAAAAAAATAGAGTGCAAGAGGACAATATTTGTCATCCTTGTCAATTGTTGTACAAAATAAATTCCTACATTAAATGACAGAAAAATAAAGAAGACTTATTTGGGGGCAAATAAGACCAAAACAAAAAAAAAAAAAAAAAAAAAAAAAAACGACAAACCAAAACCAAACAAAATCAAAGCCACCACCAACAAAAAACTTATCTACATAAACATGACTTTCCTTAACCATTTCCAAAACTGAATACTTCTTGAGATTATCATCATCTTTGTTTTGCTCTCTATAGGACAGTTAGTGCAAGTAGCCTGCAAATCACAAAGTACCAATTATACACAGATAAACATAATTTTAATTATATTATCTCTTTGTTACAACTGTGGAGGTTAAGACTAACTATTTTCATAAATTAAGTGATACAGGATGTGGTTCGGGCTGCATACTCTTCCCCACCACCCTTTCCTTGTGTATAAACAGGATGAAAGGGTGTGATGAGGCAGCAACTTGTCTTGCTGAAGGCTGAGAGACTGGAAAGGTGAGAGCTGAGACGATTTGTTCTATACATGCCTGCAAATAAAGCGAGGGAGAGAGCTCAGTGGAAGCAGTCAGTGCTTCAGAGTCTTCACTGGCATTCATCTGCTGGGTGTTTTTATGTGAATGAAGATTTTGTTTTCAATCATCACATTTTCTACCCGAGACCTAGCCCTCCCTTTACATGAATATGTCCAAAGTGCTCTACCGTGCTGTTTGAGCCTTGGGCTTCATAGGCTGCTTGCAGAAGTCAATTAACGGAGATACTTGGCCAAAGGAAGAGATAGAGCAGCTTCTCCCTCCTATGCTCTGTGTGACCACATACAGAGTAGAAGGAGGCAGCAGCACTATCCTGGAAACCTCATTAGCAATCTCAACCACTTACATGCCCGCAACGGAGTGTGAAGAATACCAGCACTGCTAACTTTCCACTACAGCAGCGGCTGTTTGCACAAAATGGACAGCACTAGGACAGGCACACAGTATCTCTGTATACATGTACATACATACACTGAAGTCCTCTTTCCCTCCCTCCTCCTGCCCCTCCAGCAACGCAGCAGTTTTTCCAGATTTATTTTTGGACTATTTCTTCTTTCCTGCAATAAGCAATCAGCATTGAACAACACAAGCGACAGAGTCGGAGGATGTGGAAAGCCTGGATGTATTTTGTGTTGGTCAGTCTGAAACATTACTTGGGTGGCACTGCACAACAATCAGCTCTGTCACCTGACACACCTGCTTAGCTTTCCCTTTAAAGGCACTGCTGTTCCAAAGGGTGCAACCAGAGCTACAGAGCAACTGCTAAACAACATGGTCCAAGGTAGCTTCAGAGGTTTCCGTATCTCCACGCTTATCTTTAATCTCGGGCTAAGGGCATGCATGTGGTTAGCTCCATCCATTGCAATACTTTCACTTCATCTTAGAGGCATCAGTTCTTCACTTGCATGGGTAAGAAGTAACCAAAAGTACCAAGAGAGGCCACAAAATTTGCACCCTCCTCTGTCTAATCCTTTATTCTGTTCAACGACATTATCGGGAAACTACACTAAAAATTTAAGACTAGTCACTTAAGCATAAAATAAAGGGTCTCAGAAGTTCATTGCAAAAGGTTCTAATGGTCTTATCAAGACCTGTTGAGCCAGATTATTTCAATCTTGAAACATGATTTGCAACCCCCTAGTTTCAGAACTCCTTCAGAAGTTTTTGAAGGCCTTCAGAGCAATGTTTACTACTTCTGTATCAATAGTGAGCTCATAATGCTGTGATAAGAAGGAAAAAACTAGCTGGCAAGAACCCAACATTGCTTCAGTGCTAATTATCTGAAAGAGCTAGAAAGATCTGCACAATGATTTGTCAGGAACATTGTATAAGTTTTGGTATGTTTTTAATTCTGCACCCCAGTACTGCAGCGGTGCCAAGTATACTTGCAAAAAGAAAGAAAAGCAAGGTACTTCCAACTTCTAAAACATCATGGTGTCCTACCAGCTGACTGCATGTTTTGTTACAGGTAAGAGCTAGGAGCACAAGCAAGGCACAGGAAAGTAGACAAAATTAGAAGAGGTGCAGGCACGTTATTAGTAATAAAAAGTAACAGAGTCACAGCACTACAAAGGGCCACAAGCAGACCTACTGTACAAGCTTTTAGTGTTAGAAGGCACTTAAGAGATCATGAGAAAAGCATTTCCTTGCATAAAGCTTTAAGGCCAACATCCATGCATGACAAGAGGTTTCCCAGTAGATTTCAGTTGGAATTCTCTGCCTCTATGCAGAAAGCCTTCACACAGTATGATAAGGATGAAACCAGCGTCTATCAATAAAAATCAGCTGAGAATGTTTGTCTTTCCTATAGGATTGCATAGACATGATCTTTCCTGAGGCTAAAGACACTGCAAGCCACCACTTTAAAGTTATGTATTAATTCTTTGCCTCTAAAAAAAAAAAAAAAAAAAAAATACTCAGCAAGGTTAGTCATGAACATTTCTATGAAGTTTAAGTTCTGTTTAGAAGCTCTGGTTTACTCTTGATCTTCATCTGACAGACTTGCTGCTTGTCCTTCAGGATTTCTACATTGTTATAACTGGAGCATAAAGATGAAGAAGAAAAGCTGGAGTTCACAAATCAGAATGTGGAAACAATGTTAGTGACCCAGTCACACATCAGTCTCTAAGACACCGGGATCTGAAGGATTTACTGGCATGGTGGGAACACCATAAACACAGCATGCTATCTCTACTGGGTGATTGTTTCTCAGAAGAGATAAGAGTAGCTAGTCATTGTTATCTTTTAGCATTAGATTCCCGTTCCAGCTCAGCAGGAGTAGCTTTGTTATATGCAGTGGGAATGATCACCCCACAGAAGTTAATGTAAAGCCACTCCCCATTGAAAAGTGTTTATACTTCAAAGTTTCAATAAGCACAATTTCTTGGTGTTTTAGAAGACTGATTATATATATGTTTTGTTTTTTTTTTTTCTCCAAGTAGAGCATGCAAATCTTTTCTTTGTTGCAAAGAATTGTTGCCTCTCCACCTGTTCAACCAGACAACTGTATTAAAGCATTTAATATTAACATCTTTCATTAATCTAAAAGAAACTTATAAATGCTTGGGAAAACTCTGCACTTAGGGCGTGTATAAACTCGCTAATGATGTTTCTAACTGCTGAGATATGCAGATGAAAAAGACAAATACAAAACATTCTCAGACACGTCCCTTCCAGGCACAGCTAGTGGTTTAAAAAAAAAAAAAAAAAAAAGGCTAAAAAAAGCACAACCTGATGATTTGGATACGGCTACAGTGACAAAACTTTGCATGTGTCTTTGCATGAGTTTTTCTTCTCCCTGAGACACTTACCAAGCATGACAAGTAAAACTTTACAATTAACAAAATCAAAAATAGCACGATTAAATCTGAGGGAAGATACTTTTTGTGTATACAGCCCATAATATTGTGATCAGCTGTACATTCACTGCCTCTTATTTTTAAATTATGGTATCATTTGAATGTTATTAATGGAGGTCTGGAGTTACATTGTAACATCAGATCTTTTCCCCTACATTCCATTGCCTTTTTGCAAAACAAGCCACAAAAACTGTTTGTTACAGACAGCAAGTGTTCCTCACTAGTTTGTAGACTAATTGCAAACTCTGCCATTTTGAAGGAATCAAAATCTACACCCACATCACATGAATCTTTTGAAATGAATGCAAACTATGCAATTTATCATAAAGTAACAACCTTTACTGGATGCTCTCCAAGCCAATTTCACCAGTGCTGCACAGAATCCTTATAAGGATTCCATGAATTATGAAAACCTTCCACCTCCATCCTCTAGAAAAAGCCTTTCCAATTGCCAAATAAAATGTCTTTTGACTGAAGAGGCATCTTTTTGTCATCCTACAAAATTCCATGTAAGTTATAGCTGGTTAAAATAAAATAATAAAAAAAAACACTTGGTTTTCTTTTTTTCCCTCCTATTTCTTCCTCCTGGAATGCCTCAAAAAAAAGATACGCTACAAGCATCATTAAAGTCCAAGTTTCACTATATGAATAGTGATAATATTCATATGCCATATGAATACCAGCAGAAGCCAACACCTAACATGCCAAACCGGTTGCATTCATTTTCTGCATTAACAGTTAGATGACAACCAGTTTAGAAATCAGTCCAAGAGCCATCCTGAAGAAAATCGTTGCTTTAGATTGACAGCATAATATAATTTCCTCCTCCATGAAGCATCCTATTCTAATTTAAAAGAATATAAATTTTACTGAAGAGTTCTATGTTTTAAGGCTAATACTTCAAATCATCTTTCTACATCCACATATGCGATCCTGTCTAAGAAATCCTCCTTCATACATGTACAGATACATCCTTACAGGATGGCTACACCATACAGCACATTCAACAGGCAAGAGGGCTTTTGTAAATATTGCCTCATTTTTCAGATGAAAGTATCTTAATACACACAGCTGTGCAAAATTTCCTAGATCTTTTAAATCCAAGACTTAGAATAAAATAATAAACCTTTGTTTTCTAAGAACAGTATTTTCTGAAAGGTACAACCTTAAAAGGTACTAAAACATAACTTGAATACACAATTATAACTCTTGTTTCCCTAACAAAAACACATTATTATACTTAAGGATGAATTTTTATCCTCTTGAATTTACTGTTTTATAACCATTTTCTTGCCACAGAGCAGAATTTCATTAGATACTATTAATGAGATGCTAACCCCAGCATATCAGTAACATTTTGGTTTGGAATAGATTCAACAGCTTTTTCTTTTTAAATCTTGTTTTTGTAACATGTATTTTCATTCTTCTCTATCTGAAGCGCATACAGATTGAGTTTAAAAAATGTTTGATATAGTTGTTTTTAAACACAGGCTATTCCTAAAGCAATGAAGATTCATTTCTCTCAAAGTAAGCAGATGCAGAGATTATAATGTGACACTATTCTAGAATTTCCCTTTAAACTCCCACTTGCACTTTTGACTTGCTTAATCCTTCTTAGGATTATTCATGTCAGAGCCAAGCTATTTACAGCACACATAAAAAAAATCCACAGAAAAAGACACCCTTTGCCCATACAGCCCCTTCCCCCCCCCACAAAAAAAAAAAAAGTCCCATAATTTCTACAACAATTCTTCGCTAAAAAGAAACCACAATTACCTGGTTGAAGTCTCAACTTTGCTTGATTCAGGGATTTCTGGCACAGGTCGATGTCTTAACATAAAAGACCGACTTGCTCTTGGAAATACTGTCGTGCTGTTTTGTGTACAGGAATCATATAAGTCATTGTTTATCATTTCTCCTTGAAACTTAAAGAATTGAGAACTTGGCTCACAATCAGATAGATCATCCTCATCTGCAAGCATGAGATGTTTGTTTTCACTGTATTTTGTCTCACATGAATGAGCAAACGAAGAAGGAGGATCACAAAATGCCAAACGGCCAGCCAAGTGCTCATCAGTTTGGTATGCAGCAGCTTCTTCCAATGATGTATCCGGCTGAGCATTCATCTTAATACTTCCACTTAGACTGACAGCTTTTACTATGCTGTCTGAATTCTGGTATAAACCAGAAAAATCCAAATTTGTAATGCTATCATCACTTGCCTCCGATAAGTTTTGCTCTCCAAGTTTGAACCTTTCTTCACCAAAGTAAGCTTCATTAGGAAGTTGCACTGACGATGTTGCAGGTATCAAGTCAGTCTCACCTGCATTTAAATTGCTTACTGGAGAATCCTCATCCACGCACAAATATTGCTTCTTTTCTAAACCTGTCGAGTCTTTGAGTTTTACATTTTCGTTCAGTAAATGTCCTTGTCTTTTTGAAAGAGCAGTGTCTAACTGCTTAAGGATCCTTCTGCGGTGCCCTGTAGGCAGCACTCCCATTTGCTGAAGCACGCTGTTGTTTATGCCTGTGCAATCTGTCACAATGTTATAGCCATATTCTTTAAAGTTAGGAAGATACTGCCCTAAGTTAATGTTGACCAAGAATTCTTCAATATCAGTGTCATTGCCTGTGGATGACATGATGGCAGCTTCATTCCGAACAGTGCCCCTCACAGTCATGTAGAAATATAGTCAAGATGCAGGCATACTCATAGGCAAAGAAGCTCTCTATATTTGTCATCAGTCAGCCAATGGAAAATGCAGTTTCTTTGAGACACTTCAAGTTTCTTTAGTTTCTGATTTTATTTTTTAAGGCTGCAAACCTACGGAAAAGAAAAAGGGTATTTAAAAAGAAAGAAAACTCAGTTCAGAGGTCTGAATTTACTTTAATCTTGAATAAAATTCTGAAAGGCTCCCTGCTGTTTGTACACTACAATTTTTTAAATTGTGCACATATGAAAATTTCAAGCAGGGTAAACAGCATAACCTCTCCATCCTTTTATCTTCTCCTGTACAAAGAGAAGAGCAAAATCAAAGCCTTAGCACAAGTAATAGTTTTAAAACATATAATCCTAGTAGTTACAAGATGTGAACCACTTATCTCCACACAACTTATTATACAGTACTTGGATATAAATGGTAGAAAAAGTGAACTAAGACCAGAGCTGGAACCCAAAGCTTTCCCATTCCCATGCTGGCACCAATTAACTACAGAGTGCAGGTTCCACTCCTTTATCTTCTGAGCCTTAAGCTTTTTAGCACAGAAACAGACTTTCAGCAGGGAAAAGAAAAAAAAAATAATCACTGGCTAGAGCGTTCCCACCAAGTAAGTGCCATAACTAACACAACAGTTTGCAAAGGTAGAGCCACTTCTGAGAATGTCTGGAGAAAGAAAATAAATAATTTAAGCTGCTACTTTTTTTTTTAAGAACCACAGCCAGAAAGCTGTGGAGGTGATCAAAACATGCCTCACAGATCAGGCACGTGTTCTTCAAAGAACTGTCGGACAGGAACGCAGGAAACAGCTAAGTGGTAGCTTCTTGGCTCTGGCAAGGAAGCACCTCCTGTGGTCACAAACTGCAGAGGCATAACCAGAGGCAAGTTCTGGCCTCCATGCTAGGGACCTTTGGTACCTCAAGTAACCATGACAGTTTCTCTTCAGTATTTTCCAACTCAGCTCTTGCACACCCCTGATTTCACCCATTTCAACTTTTCCTTCCTTCATGGCCATATCCAAATCCATAGTTTACAAAATCCAAAGCAGATGGAGAAGCTCCTGTGTTCAGAAGGTGTTTGAGACAACCTGAAATCATGTCTTTAAAGAAGGTTTAACACCAGCAGCAGACAACAGGTTTTTTTCCTCCTCCCTCTTCCTGTACAAAGAGTCATTTGGCTTTAGGGAAAGCTGCTGACTGTAGCAGCTGCCCTGGCATGCAGGTACTAGCCTGGAGCAGCCTGTTAGAGAAAGAACAGCTTCGGCAGGACAGCGTAGGACCTAAATAGCAGCCTGAAAGAAAAAGATTCACATGCCCAGCATACACCCAAGGTAGCAGATATTAGGTACACCTTATTCTCCAAAACATCTCCTGACTAAGAGGGCACTACTTATGATCTAGAATTGAAGCTTGAAAGATTGGCTGCTTTTGTACTATATCAATTGCTCCAATAAAGGATAAAACATCTTCCTATACAATTTCCCTAATGCCTTTTGAATAAATAAGTCATTATTCAGCCAAGCAGTCATAAATGAATCTTCATGCCCTGCCTCATTCCCCAAAGACACATACAAACACATATAAATTTAAAATCACATAATCAATGGAGCATAATTGTTATCACCACTATGAGTAATTGTACTCTAGCATTACTATGAATAACTAGTTTAATCACTAGAAGTTTTCTCTTGCAGTTTTGTAACTACCTTTATTACTCCCACACTTTCAGAAAGAACTAATCGAAAACAGGAAAAAACTCTGCACTTACACCATATATGCGTGTGTATGTACGGCATAGTAAAGAGAAAAAGAAGTTGAATAAACCCGCACTCTTCTGGAAGACGTACAGATCAGCACATTTATCACAAAAGTTCCATTATTTACAAGAACTCTTTAGATTCTTGCCAATATATTCAACTTCATTTTTTGCGATGCATTTTTATAGCTTTGATCGCTGCTTGGCAGACTTGCAAGCAGTGACTTACCACCTTCAATATGAAAGGCATTCAATTAGAGATTTTTGGAGAGAGAACTCCATAGGCCACGTACCAGCCTCTTGAGAGATGAAGTCTGTTAGAGAGTTAACTCTCACTGAGAAGTCGTTTTAATTCAAAGAGGCCTGGATTGAGCTACACTGATTAACAAGCAACTTTTAGAATAAGAATTAGATTTAACTTTGTCCTTCTTCAACATGAGCACATATCTAAACACCCATCATTTCTTTAAAAATTTAAGCCCCCCCTTCTCAAATGATAAAATTTGCCAGTAATACCCATCAGCCATCTCTAAAACCACCAAAATGCATATATAAATACATACTGTGTTAAGGTTTTTTTATTTTCTTAATTTTATAATTACTACAGAAATAACTAATGGCAGAAGAAAATATCAAGCAGGCACTGTTTCACGTACCCATTGTGAAAAAAAAAAAAAGGTACACACACTCACATACATGAAAAACCACCTCCAGTGTTAGCCTATCAATTAAATAATTTCAACTTCAATTTTGAAATACTTTGTCTGTTGTTTCCAGAACTTCCTTGGTAGTTCACGGTTTTGTGGTGCTATTTAGGGTCCTAACCCCAAGGTGTTAGCGTTTATTTTCAAGCAGTATCATTCTCCCAATCTCTCCGCCTCCAACAGAAACAAAAGGCACTTAAGTAAGTAGCTTCTATTTACTTACACACACTCTTTTCCATATCTAAGTATTGTTTTTTCTACGTGCAACAGCTTTGCCAACACCTTAATCTGGAACACCTCCATCCTGCTACTTCAGGAACTCCAATAGCCATGTATCATCGGTTATTTGGATCCTCACACATCTCAGTACAAACCACAATACAATGCACAGGATTACCAAGCACAGAACAAACTTTGTTTCTAAATGCGAAGAACATAATTTCTTTTTGTTGCATATTTTCCAGAATAACACATAGCAGGCCCAGAAAGGAAGAAACTGCTCACTAAGACAGCGTTTTGACCACAAAATGCCAGCAATGCTGGGAGCTGAAGCCAAAGCCATTTTTTGTTTCAGTAGTTGCTAGAAGTTGCTGTAGTTGAGACTTCTAAAGACATGCTATAGATCTGACCCACCTATACAACTCAGTAAATGATACACAAATATTGGTTGTGAAACTTACTGGTATTTGTGGATCTGAGGGTTTTGCTTATTTTGGTTTGAATGCCTAGATGACGCTTTAAATAAATAAAACTAAATAAATACGATTCTGTGATACACACAATCAGTGAATATTTTTAACACGGGCTAGAAGATAAATACTTTATCATGTCTTACATTGTATGTTTTATCCTTACTACAGCCTTAAGCTCAAGTGTACAGAAAAATAGAACTCAAGGACCACCTTATTCAAAATAGTAAACTATTTCAAATAAATTAATATCAATAAAACTTCGTAACTTCAACTGTAGAATAATTCACACAAATACAGTTTGTATAATATTACATATGAAGATGCAGTGATCATATGTATGTGATATATGCCCGTTTGTACATTGACTTTCACATCAGTAACTGTACCACTATGGAAACTTAAGTAAAAAGAAGTCTTAAAGGTTGGTTCACATGGTCACATACATCCTGCAAAACAAAGCTTTTACTCTGAGCAGCAGGGCAAAATAGATTGTCCCATAGTATTAGACAGAAATAAGTATTAAAAAAAAAAAAAAGAGGGAAATTTTGATCTTTCTTAAATAAAACTGATTCTAAGGGCGCTGTCATATCCTCTGATGTAGAGTCACACAGACAAAAGCCACTCATTCAACACATTCACGCAAATTAGGAGAATGCTATAGTGGGTATATGAAGTAAAGCTTCTTGGAAGACACTTGACTATTCAGTTTTACAGAAATATGTGTAAAGTGTCCAAATTGCTATGTGGAAAAAGCAATACAAGGGAATCCATCTGGGCTTCTCTTCTAAGAAAATATGCTTTTGGCATGTGATAAATTGCCATTTGTTTTGGACATCAAAAGCCTTACATGGGATCATCCAACTTTCTTCCCCAGATGACGATGTTTCTCAAACTCTTTTCAAAATGATTTTCCCATCCTTCCTTTTCTCCTCTTACAGAAGGAACTTAGACAATGAGGTAGAAGAACTCAGGCATACCAGGTCTTTCTGTTTTGCAGAAAAGAGCTGCTACATGGCCTCCAAGACAACACTGGCACAGAAAAAAATACATAATTTTCAGGATGCTTCCTCACATGGAAGATATGTTCTTGTACCTAACATTTTAAAAAAATGTGCCAACTGATATGGCCTCCATTCCATGATTTTCAAGTTGGAGAAGTCTGCAAGACATCACTGATTGGAAGATGTATGCAGATAAACAAATCTATGCTGAAGCAAGCCAGCCAACTTTTAACAAAACGCACAAACAGAAGGCTATAGCTGAATATAGAAATACTCAAATGAGTGTTTCTCATTACTCAATACTCAAATGAGACTTTCTTCTTCCTTTTTAAGAAAACTACTGATGCCAGCCTAGAGAAATCTTCCGAAGTACACAGCAAGCCAGTCACACTTCCAGTGATGAGTTCAACAAATACAAGGAAGTTCAGGCTTGCTCCCAGCTTCTGCTAAACCACATGCTTCACTAAGTTTCAAATAAATGTGGGGTGAAAAAAAAAACAAAACAAAACAACTGCTCTAGGACTTACCAAGGAGCAGAATTAAATCTGCTGATGGTCAATTTCACCCTCCCATTGGGCTTGACTGCATACAAACTGGCAAGATTAGCAGGCTTAAGAAGTGTTGTAGATCATTACAGATCTTTCTTTTCGGCATGCTCAAAAAAAAAAAAAAAAAAAAAAAAGAAAAAAAAAGGTCCTCTGAAGTGACCATTTTAAAGGTGTCACTTATTGAATTAGCATTTGGGTCAACACAGAGCAACGTAACCAATGGCAACCAGCACAGTTCCTTGCCCAAAAGCAGCGAAGTGACTTAGTTCAGCACGATTACGAAATACTTTCGAGCACATCCTCCGCTCACATAGTTTCCTCGTTCTTTTTTTTATTTCGGAAGGCTTCTGTTTCAGAGGAAAGCTCGGCCACCTTCGCCGCCTGGGAGCGAAGGCTGACGCCGCCAGAAATTCCTGTGGAGCAACTCGCGGCGTCGGGAGCGCGGCGCGCAGCGGGGCGGCACCGGCCGGGCGCACTCGGGCGAGTTGCTGCGGCGACACGGGGCTGCCACGTCCCGGCTCTGCCTTTCCGATCAGTAAGGGCATCCCAGCACTGCTGCGCTCCGCCACAGCGACTTTCACGCACCGTCCGGTAAAACTCGCAGGCAGCTTACCGAGAAGCCTGCGCCTAACTTCACAGAAAGTACCCGGAGTAAATAAATACACCACAAAGCGCCCTGCCTCGGCTGGCATTTACATACGGACCGTTAAAACGATTAAGGCGAGCAGCACACGGGCGGGGAAACGCACGCTACCTGCCCACCAGGCTCCATCTCCCCGGCCCCCCCATTACCACGACACCCCCGGGCACCCCTGGCCCATCCCGGGGAGCCTCCCGAGCAGAGCCGGGCCGGGTGCTCCCAGCCTTGCGCCCCTCTGGAGGCAGCTGGCTTACCTCCTGGCGACGAGCAGCCGCGAAGGGGAAGGAGGAGACGGCCTAAGACCGCTTGGGCTCCCTCCTCTCCCCCTGCTCGCTCGTTTTCTCCTTCCTTCCTGCCTGCCTGCCTCCACACCCCACCCCACCCCCGCGCTGCTCCCCGGCGAGCCGCGCCCGCGGCGCTCCGCTCCCTTCCCTCCCCTTCCCTCCCTCCGGAGGCGGCCGCACCTGGGCTGGCGAGGCGGTGTGCTGCCTCAGGAACCTGGCTGGGGGCTTGGGGAAGGCTGCCTGCCCCACAGCACGGCCCCGGAGCACGACCCCGGGGTTCTCCTTTACCCCCCCGGGGCGCAGGGCGAGATGGCCGCGGGGCTCCCCCTGGCCTCCCCGCTGCCCTCCAGCGGAGCCCCGCGGGGGGCGCAGCGCCCTCACGCCTCGCTTGGCTGGATGAAATTAGGAAGCTTTAAGTAAAGCGTGTGACTTGCCCCGCTTCTAGGAACTCGCCCGCGCCCGTGAGGTAGTGACACGCTGCCGAAAGTCGCGTTTTATTACACTAAGCGAGACCGAAAAGCGCTTCGACGCGCTCCAGCAGCCGCCCCCCTCGCACCGCGTGGGCCCCGAGCACCTCGAGGTGAGGCTGGGGATGCCCCGGGGGCCTCTGCTGAAACAGCCGAGGTCTACCCCGAAAAACAGGCCAGTAAAGCCCTCCTTGGGAGCAAGTAAACCTGCCTTCTTCTGCCTGCTGCAAAGATTGCTTATTGCATGCTAACTATAGCCTTACTACGTAGCCCGACTCACACCGAGGCTGTTAAAGATCGTCAGAGGCTGAGGAGTGCCATGGTAGTAAAATGAGGTTTCAGATCACAACTTCAATCGTAAGCAACTTTTTCATTCTCCAGTTCCCCACTGCAACAAGTGGAAGGAGTGAAGTTCAGCATTACAGAGCCAATCCCACCCGCGCCCAAACACTTCTGAAAATCCTGCTGCGCACCCTACCTATTAAATGCCCAAATACCAGTCTACTAAAAAATGCAGTTAATTTAATATCCCAAACTTGTATTATGCAAGTGAATTTTATGGTAAGAAAGTCCTACACCAGTGCAAACTTTTGTTTTTGCTTTTTCTAGGTAGCCTAAAGAAATTCATAATTCTCTTGACTGACATTCTATTAATCATTTTGCCGAGCCTGGCTCAATGTCGTTCCCAATCGTTTGCAAATGGACCCATATATTTCCAAACCAAGTTGCTGTACAGATGTGACTCAGGTACACAAACAGTCTTTTTGGCCATAGCTTTTCTGGATTGTAATCTAAGGGCTCACAGACTCATCCGATTAGAGATTTGCCTAAAATCCCGAGCTAAGCCTAGCTTCCTTTCAGAACAGTAAGAATGCCAATGAATGCTGACTTAGAAAAGGAATTTTAACCACAGTAATTTAAAATATTTGAAAGATTCATATCTTGAAAACAACAAAAGACTTGCCGTCTTTGCAAGGCTTACCTTGCCATGCAAGTATCCACTTAATTAGCTGAATTAGCTTCACTGGGCTGAATTTCTCTTTCCTGCAAGTTTTTAGGTATGGCAGTTGAATAATACCTTTGAACTCTTCTCTACCAAGAAAGCCCAAGTCCTTCTATAAAATCCACCTCTCCTTCTCTTCCAGGAGACCCACGTGATTTGCCCATGTAAGTGGACCAGCAGCAGAGACTACAGATGACAGGCCTCTCGCTGTTTAAAACAGCTGTCACTCTCACACAGAATTCACTAAAAGAGGCTGTCCTCAGCATATTTATATTTGTGCATTAATAGCATCTTCCCTCAAAGCATAACATCGTGCTCTGCACCCTGACACGCTATGTTTCAACCAGAACTAGCCACTTTTCTTTTCTTGACCACTAGATGAGAACACAAGATCTGAGATTTTTTTTATTACTACTTTTTTTGGGGGGTGGGGGGTGGGAGGGATGCTGTTTTAGCAGTGTAATTTATCAGATTCTAAGAAAGTTCTCAAGTCTCTGGTTTATCTATGGCACACAGTTCTCTGTAACGAAGCACGAAATGGCAGCTTTCTACCATTGTGGTAAAGCAAAACTAAAACTAACTAACTAAATAACCTTTTGCATATATAAAAGGAAACCACAACTTCTTAGTTCTGATGTAATTCAGATATGACATAAAGCACAGTACTATTCTAAGGCTTGTTGATATATTTGAGTTTTGTAAATCTGTTGGCAGGTTTAACTGCAGAGATTTTATTATCTGATAATTTCCTTGGCCCATGAGTTTCTATGTTGCTATCATGAAATTTTTTTAGGTCAGTAATGTTTTTTAAGTAGCTGAAGATTTGGTTTAGAAATTCGTGTTAAGTGGAAGTTGCAATACTTTTGCTATGCCCTTTAGAAGGTATTCGTGCCTTTTGTATCCTAAAACACATATGGCCATACAAGAAGGTCATTCATAGTGAACACAGTAAGTTTGCTTTCCTGCTCAGAATTATGATTACATAAATCTTCAAGATAATCTTGTTTTCCAGCAACTGAGATTCATCTGATTATTTTTAATATGATCAGTATAACCAATATAAGAATAACCAAGTAAGTCTGTGTTTAACTGAAGATGGAATATCATCTAAATTGTACAGGAGTTTATCCATAGAATATGAATGAACCCCAGACTTCCACATTCCATCTGTGTGGTCTGTTATAAGTTAAAGCATATATTTGCTTCACTATTATTCATTAAGCTTGTAATATAACTAATTCAAACTCGTCAGCCATTTTCCAATTTTCCAGATATTGTCATTTTTGGATCTGTCTATCTTTAAAATTGATCAGTTCTGTTGCTGTGTATTTTGGATTTAAGTACTCTAACTGCACAAACAGCAAGCTGCTGAGATAAATAAGGGCTTCCTTTATTGATTGTGTCCAAGTAGCTCTGATATTGTACACAAGATTTGGCAGCTATCTAAAAATATACAGAAAAGCTGAGTTTGTGGCTTTTTATATAATTATTTAACTGCTGTAAAAACAGCACATGCTATCATTGAATACAGTCTGAACAAGATACAAAGAACTATTTTCTAAGCTTGGTCTTCTGCAATCTTTTCAGTCTTGTTACCTTTAAAGCAAAAGTAATAAAACTCATCCAGCAGTCCCTCAAGGTGTTGAGAAGATTAAGCTTATTTAGTTTTTGGAGTTTTTAAGCATTATAAGAAATTAAATGTTAGCTACATCTCAAACAACCAGCAGATGAATGCCAACCAGCTCTATTATGATTGGAGCTTCAGTACTATTGTTACAGTATTGTTAATAAAATATCATGAAAACTAACCTTGGAAATTAAATCATGTACTGTAATTGTTAAAAGCAGAATTCTAGCATGAGGTAACATTTCACATAGGATAAGACACACACACACACACACACACACACAAAACAAAAAAAAAAACACACCTGTAAAGACTCAGAAAAAAACAATTGATAGGACTGTAGTTAAGAATAAGTGCAGGTTTTGAGAAATCTAGGTTCAGTTTTTGTATTTGTTCTCAACTGTTTCTGTGGCTTTGGGATTTATATTGGCCAGTTCAGTGCATTATAACTTTTGTACGTCTCACTGGACACCAACCTGCGTTTTAACTTAGACCTATAAACTAGTTCAATACATACCACATTTTTCAAACATAACTGTGTAATAGTCAATCTGATTTTCAAGAAGCATCGTAGATACATCATATGAGACATTTGTATTTTCAGACTATCACTTTATAAACTAGTTAATGTTATTCCTTGCAGGTGTGACAGCATAGTCATTGTGGCTTTAGTAATCTTATTTCATTTACATTTGACCTTTATGCAGTCTCTGTTTTCTTAAAACTACCGATGGACTCATGCAGTAGTCCCTTTAAGTTGTTCTGATGTTCATAATGCTGTTTTTGAAACTAATGACATAACACCAATGGAACAATACTGTTTACTGATTAGTTTTACAGCATACTGATTTTTTTTTTCTTTCCCTCACCAATGCAGGTGACGGTTATGTTAGAATTAATTTTCTGTCTCATGTATTGTATATCGCACTTGAGTGCACATGCAAAGTCCCCTGAAGGTAAGAAGCTATTTGGATCAACTGAAATACTCTGAGAATAACAAAAACAGTAATTAGGTTTGCTCCAAAAGCACTTCTATTGCAGTAAGGAGTTAGTCAGAAATATTGAATTTGACCTCACTTTCAATGGGAGTCTCCAAAGATGGCAATTCAGAATACATCCTTGCTACAATGTGAGATTTCTGGAAGGTCCACCCACTCACTGCCTTTGGCCAAAACACACCATACAGCATTTCCCTGGACTAATACCCTCTATGTCCCAGCTCTTAAGCCAGCACCTGAACTTGCAGATACTGCCCTGTGGGTTGGTGACCCCCACTTTCACATACATTTTTATGGGCTTCAATCTGCAGGCAACATGAGAATTTTGCCTGCAGTACTGCTTTATTTAAATTCATTGCTTATGGGGAAGTAAAAGCATCTTCAATGTATAAGACTCACCTGAGTTCACAAGCCTGAAAATGAAAACAGCAGATTTATTCTAGCAAAGCAAGAGGGTTAAGCTCTTGCTTCAAATGAAAGGCATATAAAAAAATCAAATTTAAAAAATACCTGACATCAATCTCTCGCTCCAGTTGTCACTTAGGGTTTCTCCAAGACATCTCTCACTAGAAAAGCTGCAGGGGCAGCTTCAACACTTTGTTTTCAGAGTGCCTGTGTTCAGTGTGGGACCTCATCCTGCCACTTCTGTCTCTCATTTATATTTAACAGTTTTCTAGTGGCTTTTGAATACAAATGCAGCTTCAAAACATGTGGTAAGTTCTTTTTATTTCTTTGCTATTGCTCTCATTTACGGGACCTTGTTACCTTGACATAACTTCCTGTCATCTTTGAAAAATCTAATGGAGCATTCTTAAATTTATTTGAAAATGAATCCCTCTGAGAAACTTTCCTACACATCAGAGCAGTAACTTCTCCCATATTCAACTCGTGTGCTGTTGACTGAATTGTAATGAATCATTAGGTTTTATCTACATAGCACTGGTTTTCTCGCATTCTACAGAAACCACATATGGCACATTTAAAGATGCTGTTAGTTTTAAAGGTCACTCTTTCAAATACCTCCTTCCCACTTTCATTTTACTTGTTCCTTGCACAAATTTGGCATGGAAAGTAATGAAGCATACTAGACATCACAGAACTATTTTTAGGGAAAAACTTTCCAAAGTACAATCACAGTTAAAATTGCAAATACTTCAATATAATTTCATGTTTTTTCTTTAGGTCTGGTGAAACACATTATATCTCTTATGTTTTCTCTTTC